TTCTTACCTAGTTGTTTGAATACAGGAGAAGAGCTATGCTCAGGTGGTCCCGTCTGCTATATTTAAATTATCTTATAACTTTTTAAATTGATGCACAGTTTTGGCACACACTACTTGATTGGGGAGACTGTTCCACGATTCAATAATTCTGTTTGAGAAACTATATTTTTTTACATCTTTTATCACCTCTTTTTACTGTCAACTTTTTGTTGTGTCCTCTCGTTCTTGTGTTCAAGATCAAAAAGTCATCCTTATCTATCTTCACTCTTCCTGTATTGCAGTTGAAAAGCATAATCATGTCCCCCCTTTTCCTTCTTTCTTCCAAGGTAGTAAGGCCTAATTTCTGTAGTCTGTCTTCGTAACTCAGATCTCTTAGGGTAGGTGCCCATCTTGTCGCCGCTCTTTGGACTCTTTCCAGTTTGTCAATATCTTTTTTTAAGTGTGAACTCCATACCACTGCACCATACTCAAGACTTGGTCTTATGATTACTTTAATAATCTTCTTTACCTTTTCTTCGTCCACATACACGAATGCCCTCTTCATTTTAGCAATCGGTTCTAACATTTTGTGGACCTTTTCATTTATATGGTCATTTGGATTTAGATTTCTGTTTATGATTATCCCAAGATCTTTTTCCCTGTCAGCTATGTCTAATACTGCATCCCCTAATTTGTATTGGAATAGTGGGTGATTTCTACTTTCTCCAAACCTGACTACGTGGCATTTATTGGTATTGAATTCCATTTTCCATGTACAACTCCACGTGAATAAGTTCTCAATGTCACTTTGGAGGCATTGGCATGAGGCATTGTCTGTTATCCTCTTTTGTATCTTCGCATCATCTGCAAACATATTCAGATAACTACCTGGGCTTATGTTTGACTCTAAATCATTGACGAAAATAGTAAAGATAATCAGCGCCAACACCGATCCTTGAGGCACTCCGCTGGTTACTCGTCGCCATGTAGAATGCTTTCCTCTAATTACTGTGCTCATTTATCTTTCATGAAGAAAGTCTATCATCCATGCGAGTAGGTTGCCTTTCACTCCACCTAGGTGCTCTAATTTCCATAGTAGTCTTCGGAGACACCTTATCAAAAGCCTTTTTAAAGTCTAAATACACACAATCCACCCAGCCGTCTTTCTTGTAATATTTCAGATACTCTATCATAAAAACAGAGGAGATTTGTTACACATGACCTTCCTTCTCTAAAACCAAATTGTTTATTTGATATCATTTCGTGTTTTTCAAGCATTTTAACCCATTGTTTTCTAATTCTTCTTTCTAGCAGTTTGCATACTACACTAGTTAATGAAACTGGTCTATAATTTAGTGGGTTTTGTTTGTCGCCGCTCTTATATAAGGGTGTAATATTTGCGAATTTCCAACTTTTTGGTAGTTTACCTTGTCTTAGTGAATTTTGGAATATTAACAATAAAGGAGTACACAGTTCTTTGGCACATTCCCTAAGAACCCAGTTAGAAATTTCATCTGGTCCCTCTGCTTTGGTCTTGTCTAATCCTTTTAGTAGATCTTTGATTTCATTCTTTTTGAGGATGATATTTTCAATGTTCTTTATGTTTGTACGGGTATTTGCCATATCAAAGATTGGATCCTGAACAAACACTGACTGAAATTTCTCATTTAGGATTTCACACATTTCTTCCTCCTTAGAATATATAATGTTATTGTCTTTGATGGCGCTAATTTGATCCTTACTTTTAGTTTTACTATTTATGTAGTTAAAAAAGAGTTTTGGTTGACTTGTACATTTGTTGATTATATCCTTTTCAAAGTCTAATTTTGCCTCTCTCATGGTTTGGGTATACTCATTTCTTCCTACTTCATATCTTTCATATGCTGCCTGAGATCTATGCCTTCTGAATCTTTTCCAAAGGAGATGCTTTTTTCCCCTCATTTTCTTGCATTTGTCGTTGAACCATTTTTGGCCATTTCTTGCTTCAGTTTTGAATTTGGATATGAATTTTTCTACTCCTTATTTATAGATCTCACAAAATTTTGAATACTGAACATCAAGGTTCTCATCATCCAGAAGTGTTTTCCCAGTTTGTTATCAAAGAAAGCTTTAAAGCTTCTATAATCACCTCTTTTGTAATTGTACTTTTCCTTTCTTTCCTTGCTTACAATGAGTTTTTCCTGTAGCAGACAGTATTTTAGTTTAATCACTACATGGTTCCTTTTTCCTAAAGGAGGACAGTAATCGATATCCTTTAATATCGTCGTTATGCTTTGTAAATGTTAGGTCAAGCATAGACAGCCTATCTAGCCCTCTTATCCTGGTATGATCTGTTACATTCTGGAAAAGGCAATGCTCATTTATGACATCTTGTAATTTAGCATTCCACGAATCTGATTGTGCTCTAGGATCGAAACTTTCCCAGTCGGTTTTGCTATTAAAATCCCCTGTAATAAGAATTTCTGTTGAATTGGTTTCCGAAAGTTGTAGCACTTCTTCCAGGCTCTTTATTATCTCTTGAATTAGTTTCTGGTAATTTTCTAGTGACCACACCGATGTTTGAGGTGGCATGTATACAGTGGTTATTATTATGTTTACCCCATTTGTTTCTACCTCAATTACCTTCATTTCCATTATGGTGTCCTGATTAATTTCTAACTCCTTTATAATAATTCCTTTCTTTGTTGATATTGCTACCCCCCCTCCATTTCCATCTGCCCTATCTTTTCTCCAAATATTATAGTCTTTGAGCCCTAATGTTACATTGTCTATGGAGGGGTCCAGTTTGGTTTCAGTGATGCATATTACATCCGGTTTATCCATATCAATTTTTGTCTCTAGTTCAAGCAACTTCGAAGATAAACCATCAATATTTGTATAAACTATTTCTATATAATCTTTAGGTATTAAATTTGGTTGTAGGGTTAATGTTTGTCTGCCTCTACATTTTGGTTCCGATAGTATATTTGCTTTGCTTGGAGACCTCTCACCCTCCAAATAAATAAGTTTTTTTCCTCTTCAGTCCTTTGTTAATTTTTGTTTTTTACTTCTTCCAATTTCTTTTGTAGTGTTACTCTGTCATCTCTGTCATCATGTATTCCTCATGGGTGGCCAGAACTTTGGCTTTCTTTGTTATATCAGTTACTATTTGCTTATTCAAGAATGTTACTTTTAGAGGCCGTTTCTTTCCCTTTTCGAATAACCCCAGCCTCCTGTGAGCTATGATATTCTGCTTGGCGAATTCGGGATTTATGACCTTGAGAATGACTACAATTAATTTCTTGTCTCCGTTGTATCGTTCAATTCCATCTTCTACAACTTTTTCTTCATGTCCCAATATGACTATGTCCTTGTTTATGTCAGCCAAATTAGCAATATTTCTTGCATGTTGCCCAAGGTGGGATATGAATTCGTTCTTCTTAATCGTTGCTGCAAGCTGTGTTTTAATTTCCTCCTTTGTGGTCTTGATGTCTTTTTCTATCTTTTTTTCCATTTAATTCACGGTTTCCTTTACCTTTGATACATCTGCATATGTAGCTGTCATCTTCTTAGCTTCTTCCATTATTTGAGCTTGGCTGTTTGACAAATTACTTTCAATCTGTTTGAGAGTTTCTTGAACTTTAATGACCTCCTCAACTTTTTCCTGTAGATTTTTTGCTTTGGTTTCACTACTGTTGCCTATTTTGGTTTCAGCTTCTTCTAACTTTTGCTTTAGTTCTTTGATTTTCAGGTCAGATTTTTCCATATTTTCTCTCTGAATTGTTGTATTTCTATGCAGGTTTTCTACCAATTCCTTCAGATTCACATTCTCTTCACGTATTTTGAGGCATTCTGCTACCAGGTTGTCAACCTTGGCTTCAAGAGCCTTAATTCTGACTACTGCTTCTGCTAACTTCATTTTTCTCGTCTGATCTCAGTTGTTCCTCATTAAACAAACAAACAAACCAGAGATGTACTCACATCAGTTGTCTCTAGGCGCGAAACGCTTACCATGCAGGATTCGAGGTCACTTCTCGCTTCCCTCTCCTCTCTCACGTCCCGGCTTACAAGCCACTTTATCTTTTTCTGTTTTTTTCACTTTCTCCTTCACGTTCTAACCCAAATTTTCCTTTCAACATGAACTATACACATTTACATACACCCATGGCTAGCAGACTAGACCACCCATTACTCAAACCTCTCCGTATTTAACAACATGTAAGAGCTGTACTGCGCTGATGCACTGCACTTCTCGCTTCGTCTGTGCGTGTCATTATCAACATGGCCTTAAGTGAATTATAATCAAAATATGCCTTAAAGTGGCACATACCCAACATATACAACCAATGTCCCACCTCTTTAACTTTAACCAACAATAACTTCAACATTGCATTGCCAACACATTTCTTAAGAGACACATAACCGGCCTTTAGTCCACACAATCTTATATAAGCTTTAAACCACATAGCCAACATGCACTATATTTATCCCGTATAACCAACATAATCAACCTTCTTCCTACTTGACTAACATAAACATCCTATATACCACATAACCAACAAATATCCTTCATCCCACATAGACAACGTATACCCAACATAACCAACATACAAAACCTTTACTCCACACAACCAGCATCAGACACACATCCCCAACATAACTCCATCCCACATAACCAACATAAACTTTATTTCATAACCACCATAACCCCATCCCACATATCCAACATAACCAACAGGGCTCATTCCCCAGGGCTTCCGCGCAATGAACTCTTCCTCGTGCAGGCCTTCATGGGTGCGTCCCTCCCAAAACCTAGCCCATTATTGTTGTGGGAGGGCTTAGGAGACAGGGACTGAGACCCAACATAGAGGATTACCCCTACCTTGGGCCTCAGCCCTTGCCTCAACTAATTTTGCTTGGTCCTTTCTTCTCTTCTTTCCTCTTCCGTATCTTCTTTACTTCCTTCTATCCCATTCCTAAGGTGTGAGAGCCATGCTGAAAGGATGAAAGGCTGGCTTTGTGTCAGTCACGAACAGCCTCCGGGAGCGTGGGCATGGTATTCCCTTGGTTAATTACTTAGCCCTTACCCCTTATGGGGAACCCTAAGGGGTAGACCATTTCTTTTCCCCAGTTTATTCAGGCTCACCATGGCCATTAATGAAGACTCCTTACCCTTAATAGAGGCATTAAGGCTTCCCCCCTTCATTAAATAGCCTATCTGAATTTGATTTGGATGGTTTTCCGACCCCTACCCCTCATTTGACCACGGCTCCGACCACTGATGCTAATACTCCCTCTTCAACGCTTACGGACAACTCTAACCATTCTGAAACACCCATTCAGGTTATTATTCAACCCCTGGAAAATGCCTTTTCCTCATCCCAATATTCTCCTCTTCATCCCCTACTGCACGACCCTCTTCCGTGTCAACCCCCTCTTCCCTTATTACTACTCTTCATCCTTATTGTCCTCCCCCCCGCAGAACTACTCCACTCCACACCACCCCATCATCCTCTCTCCCTCGTCCTTCTACTACCTCTACCTCTGCAAACCTTCTGGGTACTCTATTGGGCCCAGCCAAGTGGGATCGATTCTTTGTGATTCCCCCCACAGCCCCCTATTCTGAGAATACCCTTCTCTTTCAGCAATGCCTCCAGAAACAAGTAGGCAAGGTTACCTTTTGCAATGGCTCTGACTTGCACTATCTGCCCCAACTGACCTTACTGGCAAACCCATTCCTGCTGAACCTCACTGAACTCTTAATACTTGTACTGGAACTGTTTCTATTCCCCCAAATGCTTGTCCCATGTATAACAAGGACTGGGCAGACTCTGAAAATGACCTACTTTCTTACCTTGATGAATATGATGCAATGGCAGTACAGTGTTATACTCTTCCTCCTAGAGGCCAACATAATCTTGTCAATATTGCCAAGACTAGCTTCCATAGACAAGACCTCCCCCCATGAGGTTTATATAAGTGGATTGTCTTATCATGTCCGACAATATCAACCCCTTCCTCGTCAATGTAAAAAATATTGGCATTTTGGCCACCCACCCAAACATTGTCGCTCCATAGCCTGATGCCCTCTATGTGCCCAACCTGGTTATGACCATTCAAATTGCCCTGCTCTGTCACGTACATGTGCCAATTGTGGAGACTACCATAATGTGTTTTACAGGAGCTGCCCTGCCTATAAGTTTGAATGTCAGGTAGCAGTCCTCAGATTTAAACTAGGCCTCACTCTACGAGAGGCCAGACAGGAAGCATGACGATGTGGTTTTTCTCTCTCAGCTTATTCAAAAACAGTCCTGCACCCTGCTCCCTTACCATCTACACAAGATATTTCTGCATCTCCCCAGGTAACTTTTACCAATACCCAAAACCTATGTCCTATGTCTACTCACCCTATCCACCAGTCAAATCCATTTTCCATCCTAAATCCAGATACTCCAATCGCTACCACTTCCCAGATACATACCCCTCCTCCTCCCTTTAGTTGTACCAGACAACCTAAACGTTCCACTCCACACTCTCCTACTACATTCTCTCCTACACCTTCCTCTTCATCTGTTCCTCAGATATCCATCTCCTCTTCTCCTCCTTATAAGAGAACCTTTGTTTCTCAGTCCTCTATACCAAATTCCCCTTCAGAAACCCTTGAAGACATCCGAAACTTCCTAAAGACGACCGAAGGGAACACTCCGCTCCCTCATCCACCCCTCAGTCCCTCTGTTCCTACTCCTGCTACATTTAAAGTATTTGCAGACATTCATCCTCCTCCTTCCCAAGTTTCCTCCACCCCCCTACCTCCTACACCCTCCCAACATACCCCACCCTCTCTACCACTTGAGTACTCACACGAATCCTCTCTATCACAACGGTGTCCTTCTCCAGACCCCTCCTCTCCAAACATTTTTCCTAATGCTTCACACTTTCTCCAGTCTTTCTTTCTCAACCCCTGGATTCTTCTAGTTCTCCAACAGCCACCTCTGTTTTCCTTGATCAGTGTCCCTACTCTTTCCCCAGTCACAGATACACTGCAGTTCACTCACATGCTCTGCCCCCTTATGTTCCCCCAACCCCTTCCCAAGATGCCTCATCCTCTCAACCACCCAAACTGCCCACACCAACCAAACTGAACCTCCCCCCAAAACCCCATCCTTCCCTACTATCCCTCCCACTCCCTCCTGGATATACACGTGAATCTTTTTTATCACAATGTCCTTCCCCAGACCCCACTGTCCCTATCGAACCCCCAGTCACTACTTCACCTATTCCTGATCCTTTGTCTCAACCCCCAGATACCTAATCCCCTACTACTAATACAACCATATATAACGTTATAACGTTCCTTCCCCAATCAGATACAATACAATTCATTTAATCGATCTACCTCCTTAACCTTTCCCATTTACTTCCCTCCTTTCCCCTTTTCATTACCATACATTCCTGGTAATATTTAACACCATCCCCTCTCCCCAGATTTTTCTCTTACTCTTCAACAGCTATCTCTATTCTTCCTTGAACATTTTTCCTATACCTTCTCCAGTGACAGATACACTATAATTCACTCAATCGCCCTCCCCTCCCCTTTATACTAACTTCTGCTGTAGCTCACTTGCTCCTCTATCCCCCTTTTCACAACAATGTTGTCCTATGATGTTCTTAAACCTTTGACATCTAACACATTTTATCATAATCTTTAACTCTCCTTTGCCCTTTCCGAAGCAATACTTTATCATAGTGCTATATGACCTCTGATGTCTAGCACATTTATTTTCAAACATTAAACATTAAACATTCACAGGTGGGTAGGGGAGGGGGGGAGGTGGAGGGGGAGGGAGGGGGAGGGGGAGGGGGAGGAGGAGGAGGAGGGGAGGAGGAGGAGGAGGGGGGAGGGGAGGGGGGAGGGGGAGGGGGAGGAGGAGGGGGGGAGGAGGAGGAGGGAGGAGGAGGAGGAGGAGGGGGAGAGGAGGGGAGGGAGGAGGAGGAGGGGGAGGGAGGAGAGGGGGAGGAGGGAGGAGGAGGAGGGAGGGGAGGGTGGGGGGGAAGGGGGAGGAGGGGGAGGGTGGAGAGAGAAGGGGTAGGAGGAGGAGGAAGAGGGAGGAGAAGAAAGAGGAAGAAGAGAAGGGGGAGGGGAGGGGATGGAGGGAGAGGGATAGAGGAAGAGGAAGGGAGGGAGGAGGATGTATCGTCTGTCAAGCTAGATCTATAAAAATACTATTCATAGTTTTTGTTTGTATCCATGTTTGTAACCAACATAAAGCTATTATGTGACACTGAAAGTAATTTGCTCAGACAGATCTTGTAAAAATAATGACATTCCTTTGGTTATTATCCGTCATTTTGTCTATTTCCTCAATCCCCTTTTTTCATTTTTACATACATTTCTACTTTGTATTCACGGTCGACCCCTCTTTCTACATTTCCATTATTTCTTTTCTACCTTATTCCCCAATTTATCAATTCATTCATCCACGTCCTTCCACGTCACGGTCAACGCCTATTTCTGCATTTCTATTGTTTATTTTCCTCTTTATTCCCCCATTCATCAGTTCCTCCTTGCAGGCTACATTGTGTTCACGGTAAATGCCTCTTCCTCTATTCCTATTATTTCCTTTCCTCCTCATTCCCCAATTTATCAGTTCCTCCTTCCATGTCCTTTCTTATTCCCCCATTTATCAGTTCCTCTTCCTTATTTCCCCATTTCCCCATTGCAGGCTACTTCCTGTTCACGGTGAACGCGTCCCGCTTCTTCAAGGAGGCGGGCTCCTCCGTCGACGAGAACCTGGCGGCGGTCAACGTCATGGTCATACAGGTGAGGCTCTGAGGGGGGGGATGCTGTTGTTGTTTTTTATGATTGTTGTTATTATTATTATCAATATCGTATTGATATCATTGCCATTTTCATCATTATTTTCATTATCAAAATCATTATCATCATTATCGTCATCACCATTGTCATTATCATCATTACCATCTTCATCATCACCATTATAATTGCTATTGTTAATGTTGTTGCCATTTTTTCTTTTCTTTTCCTCATATATATATATATATATATATATATATATTTTTTGTTTTACTTTGTTTTCTTTCTTTTTCTTTACCTATATGCCTTTCCTTAATTAATATAATGATGATAATAATAACGATAGTAATAACATTGACAACAACAAAACAATGATGATAATGATAATAGTTATATAAGTAACAACGCAATCGATAACGCTAATGAGAATAAAATAACGATAATTACGAAGAGAACGAAGTAATAAAAAAATCAATTATCGACATTTTTGTTGAAAAAAATTTAAACAGATTTCCTCATAGTTTTGTTACATCATAATCTTCACAATTCGGGCCTATTCTTCCTTATACAACATAGCAGATGACATGTGTGGTTTCTTATCTTATCGACATAATTGAGATATGACTGTATATCATTGTCTCAAGATAATGATTTTGATATTGAATAATGCATAAGATAAATGAATTAATAGGAAATAATCGCATATTGATTATTCTTATAGTTATCATTTGTATATTTATATCTGTAACCTTTCTATATATATTTTTTTTCATTTCTCTGTCTATATATTAGTCTGTTATCATTTACGTAGTACAGTTATGTTTCTGTCCATTTACCTGTCTATCAGTCTATATACCTATCTATCTATCAGTCTGTCTATTTATGTATTTATCTGTATTTCTGTTTCTTTATCAGTCTATCTAGTTTTCTTTACTTTTGTCTCTTTAATTATCTATCTATAAATTTGTATTTTGTCTATCCGTGTATGTATGGATGTATGAATGTATGGATGCATTTATTTGTCTGCACCAATCATATTGAGTTAGTTAGTCAATCTGTTTACCTGCCCATTTAATTAGCTGTCAGTTTAACTATCTATCAGCCTATCACTCTGATGACTTGTCATTATATGCCCATCAATCCATCTGTCTATCCATCAACCCATCTTTCAGTCTATCTACTTACCTACCAATCCATCAACCCATCTTTCAGTCTATCTACTTACCTACCAATCCATCCATCCACCCATTCATTCATTCATTCATTCATTCATTCATTCATTCATTCATCCATCCATCCATCCACCCATTCATTCATCCATCCATCCACCCATTCATCCATCCATCCATCCATCCATCCATCCATCCACCATCTATCCATCCATCCATCCATCCATCCATCCATCCATCCATCCATCCATCCACCCACCCACCCACCATCCACCCACCCATCCCCATCCACCTATACCCACTTACCTACCCATCCTTCCATCCACCACCCATCCCTACTTATCCATCCACCCACCCACTCATCCATCCCCACTTATCGATCCACCCATCCATCCATCCACCCAAACCCACCCATCAATCTCCAACCTATCAATCCATCTATTTTCTTTCTCTTCCAGTTTGCGGTGACCGTCCTGGCCTCTCTCCTCATGGACAGAATCGGTCGAAGAAAAGCCTGTTTATCTCCTTCGCGTCAATGATTCCCTTCCTGGTCGTGATGGCGCTGTTCTTCGGGATCACGGGAGACGGGGAGGAGAGGGGAGGAGGAGGAAGGTGGTTGAGGAGAGGGGAGGAAGGGAAGGGGAGGAGAGGGAAATGGGGAGGAGGAGAGGAGGAATGTGGATGAAGAGAGGGGAGGAAGGGGAGGGGAGGAGGAGGAAGGTGGGTGAGGAGAGGGGAGGGAGACAGGGAGGAGAGAGAGGGGAAGGAGGGAGACGGGGAGGAAGGTAGGTGAGGAGAGGAGAGGAGGAGGAAGGTGGGTGAGGAGAGGAGAGAGGAGGAAGGTGGGTGAGGAGAAGAGAGAGGAGAGGAGGGGGTGAGGAGGGAGAGAGGAGGAGGAAGGTGGGTGAGGAGAGGAGAGAGAGGAGGAGGAAGGGTGTGAGGATGGGTGAGGGAGGAGAGGAGAGAGGAGAGGAAGGTGTGTGGGGGAGGAGAGGGGAGGAAGGTAGGTGGGGAGAGGGGAGGAAGAGGAGGGGAGAAGAGAGGAGAGAGAGGAGCAAGGAGGGAGACGGGGATGAAGGTAGGTGAGGAGGGGTGGGGACGGGATGGAAATAGGGAAGAGAGGGGAGGAGGAGGTGGTGAGGAGAGGGAGGAGAGAGGAGGAGGAAGTGGTGAGGAGAGAGAGAGAGAAGGGAGGAGAGGAAGGTTGAGGAGTGAGACGGGGAGGAAGGTAGGTGAGGAGAGGGGAGAAGAGAGGAGAGAGAGGAGCAAGGAGGGAGACGGAGAGGAGGAAGGTAGGTGAGGAGGGAGGGGAGGGGATGGAAACAGGGAAGAGGGGAGGAGGAGGAGGAAGGTGATGAGGAGAGGGGAGGAGAGAGGAGGAGAAGGTGGGTGAGAGAGAGGAGGAGGAAGGTGGGTGAGGAGAGGAGAGAGGAGGAGGAAGGTGGTGAGGAGAAGAGAGAGGAGGAGGAAGGTGGGTGAGGAGAAGAGAGAGGAGGAGGAAGGTGGGTGAGAGAAGAGAGAGAGAGGAAGGTGGGTGAGGAGAGAGAGAGGAGGAGGAAGGTTGGGTGAGAGAGAGGAGGAGGGAGTGAGGAGGAGGTGGAGAGGAGAGAGGAGGAGGAAGGTGGGTGAGGAGAAGAGAGAGAGGAGGAAGGTGGTGAGGAGAGAGGAGAGAAGGAGAGGAGGAGGGAGAGAAGGAAGAGGAAGGTGAGGAGAGGGGAGGTGAGGAAGAGGAAGGAGGAGAGGAGGAGGAGGAGGAGAAGAGGGGAGAGAAGGAAGGTAGAGAGAAGAGGAGGAGGAAGGTGGTGAGGAGGAGAGGAGGAGGAAGGAAGGTGAGGAGAGAAGGAGAGGAAGGTGGGTGAGAGAGAGAGGAGGAAGCGTGGGTGAGGAGAGGAGAGCGTGAGAGAGAGGAGGAGGAAGGGTGGGGAGGAGAGAGGAGGAGGAAGGGTGAGGAGAGAGGAGGAGGAAGGTAGGTGAGGAGAGAGGAGGAGAGAGGAGGAGGTGGGTTGAGAGAGGAGAGGAGAGAAGGTGGTGAGGAGAGGAGAGAGGAGGAGGAAGGTGGAGGAGAGGAGGAGGAAGTGGGTGAGAGAGGGAGGAGGAAGGTGGAGAGAGGAGGAGGAAGGTGGGTGAGGAGAGGGGAGAGGAAGTGGGTAGGGAGAGAGGAGGAAGTGGGTGAGGAGAGAGGAAGAGGAAGTAGGTGAGGAGAGAGAGGAGGTGGGTGAGGAGAGAGGAAGAAGAAGGTGGGTGAGGAGAGAGGAGGAGGAAGGTGGGTGAGAGAGAGGAGGAGGAAGGTGGGTGAGGAGAGGAGAGAGGAGGAGGAAGGTGGGTGAGGGAGAGGAGAGAGAGGAGGAGGAAGGTGGGTGAGGAGAGGAGAGAGGAGAGAGGGGTGTGAGAGAGGAGAGAGAGGAGGAAGGTGGGAGAGAGAAGATGAGGAGAGGAAGAGTGAGAAGAGGAAGGTAGGAGAAGAGGAGAGAGAGGAGAGAGGAGGAGGAAGGTGGGTGAGGAGAGGAGAGGAGAGAGGAGGAAGGTGGGTGAGGAGAAGGAGAGAGGAGGAAGGAAGG